ATAGTCCATCCAACTCTGCTGAAATAGACTGTGATGAGTTGTTGTGTGTATGCTGTGCCCCCTCCCCTTTCTTTTTTCAATCTTGAGTGAGATGGCACAATGAAAGCCAATTAAATGGTACATTGGGCACTGAAGAAAAAGCATTGCAAGATGGTCAGGAAAGGAAAAAGCAATGTTAGAGCTCGCTAATCTTGCCTATAAATGAGATACGGCCAACGTGTTTGCCGCTCTCTGATATGTGGCCTTAAAGCCCCCTTTGTCCTCCTAGTGGGTATAAACACTCTGCTTTCTCTGCTTTTTCCCAGTCAACTCGGTGGGCCTCATGGAAGCTCATCCGGTGAAGAGTTCGTACAGCCATCGGGAGCTTAAAACTGCAGTGATCTCTTTAAATCAAAACCCAGTAAATGAAAGGGGAATTTATATTGCAAAACAGATAGGGGATAATTGGATTACACAATAAGCTTTAACTTTAAAAGTGTTGTGTATATATTCTTTCGATAACAAACTTCATTTTTTTAAAAAAGATTTTATTTATTTTTGGAGAGAGGGGAAAGGAGGGAGAAAGAGAGGGAGAGAAACATAGATATGCAAGAGAAACATTAATGGTTGCCTCTCATGTGCCCCCAACCTGGGACCTGGCCTGCAGCCCAGGCATGTGCCCTGGCTGGGACTCGAATCAGCAACCCTTCAAGACAATGTGTAACTCACCAAGCCACACCAGTCAGGGCACAAACTTCTTTAAAGCATGTAACTATTTTATTAGCAGAAACCCTTCAAGCGTACCTTCAAAAACTTGAAAGTGAAGGGTTTTTTTCCCAGTTAAGTACATATCAGAAATTACTATAAAGCATAGCTGAAGTTATTGTCTAAAATAGAATCATTTCCAAAAAAATTTAAAGTTTGCAAACAAACTTACCCCCAGACTCGTCTTTTGCATAAAGTGAGGTCTTCATTGTAAAATAGAAAACAAAGGGACCTTTAGCTTGTCTAGAGAAGGGCCAGGACTGACTCAGAAAGGCAGCACCTGTAGTTCTCCCTGGCGTCAGGATGCACAGGGGTTAAAATACCCAGCTGCCTCCGGCCTGTCTCAAGGCACCAAAACCCACCAAAATTGTCTCCAGAGACGTGGATGCTCAGCATCCTGAGCATGGAGGGAAAGAACTGGGACCAGTGTTTTTTAACATTTGCCTCTCGGCAGGAATTTTTTTTATTAGCTTACTGTTGCTAATAAATATGAAATATTGTCCCTTTGTTTGGTAAACCATTGTTATTTTCATGTAGGCTCACATTTTGGGAAAAAAACACAGAGAAATTACTCATCTATTGGGTGTAAACAGAGGTGTCAGTGTTGGGCGGTTAAAATGACTGCACTGAGCTTTGACAACTCTGCGCTGCGCAGCGGGGGAGGGTACAATAAATAGATTGGTGAGACTTGAACAGAGGCTTGTTGTTCTGAATCGCACCCATGGACATACAGGGCGAGGTCTTTAAAGGAATCGGGTTATGACATTCACTCCCCAAACCTGGTTGCTTTGGGGGATGGGGCATCACAATAGATGAAGACATCCTGAGGGGGCGGAAGGTGCTGCAGAGAGAAATCCAGGCAGGGCAAAGGGGAGTGCGCTCCCTCCCTCCGAGAATCCAGAAACAGGCAGCAGCCTGGGGCAGCTGGAGCTGGAGTCACCCTGGCTCTTAATGTGGAACGGACTTTAACAATTCCATGATGAAGCTAAGGCCAAGAGTCAGCTGATTCATGGGCCAATGCTTGTATCGCCATGGACTAAAGACGGATGAACAGGGCTCATTCATGGTAGGAATCATTACTGCTCCGTTTTGTTTGCTGTACCAGTCCGTATACAGGGAGGCATAGTCACATAGCCTTAAACAAGTCTATGCCCAAAGCTTTGTGGGGTTTTTTTGCTGTCCCAGCAAACGATTACCAAATGACTGCTTAGCAAGAGTATATATTCTGAAGGAAAAATGAATCGGCTTTTTAAGTGTTAGCCTCAGACCACCTGGATTTACGATAACAGGAATATGTATAACAAAAGCGTACACAGTGGGTGGGTGCGGTTGAATTCCAAGGTGATTTGTCATGTTTGAGTTCATCTCCAACTGAGTCTCCAGGTGAATGGGCCGGTGCTGGGGCCGGGAGCGCTGTCTTTCTTAGGGAATGCACAGGGTAAAGAGCGACCCTCCAGGAAGTTTAGTACAGTGACGTGTAAGCAGGTTTATGCCCTTGCCTTTCCTCTCCTAATGGACAGCCTTCTGTGGCCGGTTTATAGGAGTTTTCAAGAGCTGTGATTAGCTTCACTTGCAGGGAACTTGCAAGGGGTTTGGGGGTCATGATGTGTCAGCTATGAACTCATTCAGTGAATCTGAAGGCAACGCTTGGAGCAGGAAAGAGCCAGGTTCAGAGGTGCTGACCTGTGGAATGTGGTGGTAAGGTCATTTCTAGCTAAAAGAGCCAAAATTCTAGTTTCCTAATCATTCAAAGGAAAGGCAGTGGTGACGGACAGTTAGGGGAAGGACTAAACTACAAAACATACACTCGTTTGGACCATCCCTGCCGGAGGTCCTCGTCTCTCATCCGAACCAGGAAAGTGGAGGGGAACCTCAGACTCAGAGAGGTAGGGTTGAAGGAAGAGGCCACGTTTGATCTAGGAGTCAGGTGAGCACAGCACAGGCGTGTGGAGGGCAGGGAGGGCTGGACCTGAAATTCTCTGCACACTGAAGAGGAAGTAGATCTGTGAGCGCAGACTCGGGGAGGATGGTTTCATTTCATTCACTTATTCACTGTGGCTGTGCAGAGCAGCTATGAAATGCAAGGCCCTCTGGAGAGCAGTTATAACAGTTCCGTCTTCGCTGAGCAAATAACTTAGTGTTCCAGCTACTAGGGTTGCAAAACAAATAACCCAAAACTTAGTGGTGGCAGACAATCGTGTACGATGCTCACAGATTATGTGGGTCAGGAATTTGCTCAGGGCTCAGCAGGAAGAGCTGGTCTCTAAATCCTGGTGTCTGGGGGCCTCAGCGGGAAGACTGGTGGCTGGAATCATCTGGAACTTGTTCACATCTGTCTGAGGTTTGGCGTTGGTGGTTGCTGTAAGCTGAGATTTTAGCCCAGCAATTGGCCCAAACTCCTACATGTGGTCTCTCCGGTTGGTCTGGGCTTCCTCACAGTATGGTGGCCACATTCCAAAGCCGAGCGCCAGAGAGGGTGAGCACAGCGGACACCATATCTTTTCTGTCACCTTGTCTCAGAGTCACACAGATACCGGCCTCGATGGTGCGGCACCGCGTTGGTCAGGGCCAGCGCGGGCCCTGGAGAGCTCCAGTCAGAGGCAGAAGCACCAACCCCCAGTGCCAATGGAGGAAGGCCAGTCCCGACACAGGAAAGGCAGATACAGACCCATGCACATATGTGTGCATGCATGTGTGTGCACATATATAAAGTCTATCACACCTCATAAGGCTGGGAGAAAAGGGTTACCACAGCACAAAGTCAAAAGTGATCTAAGTATTATTCGTGATTATTTTCTGAATGGCGGCACCAAGAATTGTACACGGAAAATTCAGTAATGAAAATGGTATCCGAGCACCGTGTTTTCCCAGCTTGAGTCTCCTGCGTGTCACTTCCATTGTTTTTACTATTATCTTATTATCTGCATGATTGTTTCCCTGATTTACGGTATTTTTCTTAAAATTGACCTACTGAGTTTTTTACTCAAGTTTGTTTTAAAGCGAACTAGATAGTACTTCTGAAAATACTATTGATTTTTCACTGTCATTTATTTGCCATGAAATAAAAGCAACTTTAAATATAATAAAATTAAAACAAGTTATTAGACACTATATATACTGCTGTCTTTTAAAGGAGCTGATGCTGAGGGGCCTCTCTCTTTGTCAGGAAAACATGCCAGCAGGCGTGAGAAAGGTGAGAAATCACACTCACACAAAACTGAGGCTCCCTCCTTGACTTGGTGGGAAAGACTGAAAGAGGAGCGAAGCCGAGCGTGCCCTAGTGAGTTGGTCAGGGATAGCTACAGCCACGTCTGTGTGCCTCCTAGCATCTTTTAGAGAACTATCAACATTGTAATTCTACTTTGTTGGCAAACACAGACACCTGAGTGGTAAAAATTGTAGGTAGCTAAGCTTGTATCCAGCCAGATTCAACCAAGTTCCTGGGATGTGTGAGGAAGACCCACACCCGGCACAGTTGACCATTTTCAATTAACAAAGGTACTTTGTAACCTGCCATCTGTTGAAGGCTAGGTCCTCATGCCTCTGTTAAGGTTGGTTTTATAAACACCTCCTTGAAAGATCCAGTGAGCAATAAAGGGCCTTGGCTCACTGGCTTCCGCAGGTTTAACTATTATCTTATGACCATTCCCCACATGCTGGTGGAGTTGACTTCTGGCCTCCCCACTGTGGCCAATATAAAGTGCAATGTTCCTACACTTTATAGAACTGCCCTCCATCCAGAGTTCCCAAGCCGACTTGCACTTTTTAGTATGCGGTATCTGGATCCTGTTAACATTCATTTTGCAAATAATTACTAGCATCTGCCAGCACCAGTGTTGTGGTACTAAGCCCTGAAGATATCAGGGGAAAAACGGTGGACGCTTTCTTGGAATACAGAGGAAGGCCAGTGGGAGGAGCTGTTTCCCCCGTAAGACCTAGTTAATGGCTTAGCAACGCCGCCGTTGCCTTGTTGTTAGAGTGTCCATCAGAGAACACTGCTTCCTGGAGGTTCTTCCCAGCAGGGATGGCAACTGGGGGGTAGGGTCGTTTTCATGGACTTCTCCTCCTGCAGCTGTTCTTTCTGGTTTGGGGGGGGTATGGAGAAGGTCTGCAGAGGTCAGGAGGACAAGAGCCAGATATTTATCTCTGGGGAATCCAGCCTGCATCCCTTACTGCACTCTCAGACTTCTAATATCAGTGCCCTTCTAGGCATGGGGTTGGCAGTAACCCACCTTCTGTGCTTTCTTTACTTGTAGTCAGCGACGGTGAAGCTGTCAAAACCGGTGGCTCTGTGGACTCAGCAGGATGTCTGCAAGTGGTTGAAGAAGCACTGTCCGAATCAGTACCAGATCTACAGCGAGTCATTCAAACAGCACGACATCACTGGTAACGTATGCAGTGTCCAAACCATTTCATTCCCTCTCCCCACCGCGGCGGCCTTTCCTGAACCCGGGCAACCAGACGGTGTCTTCCTGCTGGAGTTCTCTGGCATGGGTGTGCTTTAGAAGGGCTGATCAATCCCAGACCTGGGTGGGCCATGCTACTTAACCAGCAGGAGACATTATTACAGAGGACCGTGGTAGAAAGCAGGGTAAGGGGTTGGCGGAGTCTAGAGAAAATAAAAGCAATCCTTGGAGAAAAGAAAGGAAGGAAGTCTTTCCAATCAAATTGGTTATGGGATCAATAGGTAGATATTCTAAGGAGAAAAGGTTTCTAAAGAGGAAAATTCCAAAGCGACTATCATACTAAGTCACTGCCCCTGAGTAAGTTACCTTCACAATAGTTCAAAGCACAAATTAAGACTCCAGTTAGATCAGGGGGCTCTGAGCACTGCGTGTGGTGGTCAAGAAGCACTGGGACGCACAAAATACGATGGTATAACGAGCTGTAAAAACCCTACAGGTCAAGTCTCTCAGTTGTACAACGGGGTGAGCAAGGGGGAGAGGCCAGGCCTTCTGTGGGAGGCCATCAGAGTAAGGGGGTCTCTTCCAGACCCCACCTGCCGTGATGCCCTGGGTCTGCTTAACCCGCCAGCCGCCGCCCAGCCTCGCCCCCTGCAAACACCATCATCAAAACCGGGGCCAAGGAATACACTCCGTGCACCACACCTGTGCCGCAGGGGGAAACAGTGTTAGAAAGTCCTGGTTCTGGTGCCGAATCTGCCCTGGTACTAAGGGGAAACTGATATCCCAGTGGGGAAGTGACTTGCTCTAGAGCAGCTCAGCACTCTAGACGCTAAGGCTCTTTCCGAACTTGGACTTTCCATCTGCCAAAATCCTAACCTCTCTCTCTCCATTTGTTTACTCCTATTGGTTTGCAGAGGGCGTGTTAAGCAGAAAGTACTTACTGTTGCAGCTCAACCCGTAACTCTGAGACCCGGGGCAGATCCCACCTCCCGAGGGCAGGGCTCCCTGGGTGGTTTCCAAGTGTGTTCCCTGGAGGCTGCCTGTCTGTGTTGTGTGTTTGGTTGTATAGAAAACTTGATTTGGAATAACGCTGAGTTTTAAAAAACACCAAGCTAAGTTATCATACAGTCCTGCAGACCAAGCTGATCATGTTAAAGTATATAAAGAACATACCCAAGTGTAGCTCAAGCTGACTACGCAGACCGTGAAATACTCCTAACTTAAATATTTAAAAAGTCCTTAATTCACTTCCTCTCTCCCCCGCAGCCAGAGGTAATGGCCCACTGTATGAAATTCCTGAAATCCTGAGGGCAGTGTTGGAACTTTGCTCAGGTTCCAGGTGTCAGATTTTTATTTCTTATATTCCTATATTGCTAAGAACATAGGAACATCCTGCATCAGGTCAGTCATTCCACCCCTAAAAGTGATCAGTCGGCTAGGAACCATCTGGCTGGTCACAGTAGCCTTCATCAGACAACGTCTGCCTAATGCTGCTTAATGCGTGAGATGGTGAGAGCACGGCCTTCTTCGTGATCGCATTTGCAAGCGGTGTTACCTCTCGTTAGGGGTGAGAGTTAGGAGATACCCTTGAGGGAAGGGTAAGCATTTATAATGGTTTGAAGAGGATGAGCCTTTGCTCCACGGAAATGAAGATCTCATGCTCCGATGCCTGTGGAGAAAATGGCACCGCTTCCCAAGGCTTTCTGCTGACTCGTGAGGGCGTGGAAGAAGGAGGTGTGGTTTCCAACAGCCGTCGTTTCGCTTTGGGCGGTGCACTGGGTCTCCGTGGAGCACGGCTGGCCTGGGTCAGCTGCAGCCTCCTGGGGACCTCGGGCCAGATCCCGGCTGGGACTCTGAGCAAGTTATTTGACCTCAATTCCTCATCTCCAAACTAGAGATAAGAATAATACCCATCTCGCAGCATTATTATGAAAATTAAAGCAATAAGTAAACGAATAAGTCAGCCAAGTATTGACACCTCTTGCATATCAGCATTGCATTATTATTTACTGCATTTTTAAACCATAAGATGCACCTAGGTTTTAGAGGAGGAAAATAGAAAAAAAAAGTTTTGAAGCAGAAGTGGTAAAATATTTACTAACATAAATAACATTTCACCAGTGTAAATATAAACAGCTCAACAGCAGCACTGATAACCATTATTCCTCCCAAATTTGGGTGGGAAAGCTGTGTCTTATAGTTCGAAAAATGCAGTATGTCAAGACTCGTGGGGAGGTGTCTAAAAACATACTATTCGCCCTACAGGGCAGTCTGTTTTCTGGCAAGAAAAGAAAGCAGGGAATCATCTGGGGACTTAGGGATTCAAGAGAATGATTTCAGGTAAATATTGGATCCACTCCTTTTTGACACTCACCTATCTGAGGTGAGTGTTGCTCACTTTCTTCCTCTGTTCTCTGGCCCAAGAGAGAATGTAAAATACCCAAGTGATCACAAGGGCCAAGCAGCCAGAAAATAGCTCTCAGAACTTGGGCCGGCCTGCCGTTATCAGCTCTGTGAAGCGGGAAGCAGTGGGAATCCTGGTACCCTTGGAGGTGGTAATCAGCAAAAGCAAAGAGGCTTATAAAATACCAAGACATGAGCATGCCCCCGAACAGCCTCTGCAGGCAGCAGCGTGACTGGGGGGATGGTTGGGGCACTGGGTACAGGCGCCAGGTCAAAGAAGCCTGGAGCTGCATCTGTGCTGTGTGATTTTGGGAAGGTTACTTGATGCACTGACTGCTTCCTCCTTCAGCTGTACGAGGGGATGATCAGTCTCCACCTGATAGGGTTGCTGGGACAGCTATTCATGGTCATAGTCAGCATGCAGTGAACTTTAGCTGCTGCTGTTTTCTGAAGTGCTGTCCTGATTTCTATGCACATAAACAGGTTAAATTCATCTGTATTTTTATGAAAATTGGAAAGGCAGCATCTACGAGGAGGGCAGGGGAACATCTGGGCTGGTAAACATGCCGAGCTTGTCTGCAAGGCTGCAATAAAGGTGTGTCTCTGGTTTATGCTTGGATTCTCCTAGTACTGCCGTTCATTTATTTTCCTTAAAGCAAGGATCTCCAATACAATGCTCATCAACGAGGTACAGCATATCAATGTAACATATAAACAGTCCCGTAATTTAGAGGCACATGGTACCGTGAGTGTAAATAAAAAGGATACGTATTAAATGGAAAGGAAAAGGGTTGGGCTTTCGGATCTCAGATCTGGGTCAAATTCCCCCGCCTTGTCCTCCACCCCCAACCTTGGACACAACCCAAGTGTCTCATCAGTGAAATGACACTATCTATCTTAAAGTGTTTCTGGGGACATTAAATGAGGCCTGTGAAGGGCCTCACTCAATGTATAACAAACATTTATTCATTTAGCAAGTATTTATAAAGCAGCCGCCCTGTACCACCAGGTGTTGCGAATACAGCAACAAATGAGACGGTCGGTGATGTGTGTAGGTAAAACTTTGTGCTTCCGTAGAAAACTAGGCATCACCCACAGCGCACTGTTTTGGGACATCTAATTCTGCTTCTACAGCGCTGGTTTACAACTCTGCAAATCCCTCAGTAACTGATGGCAATACAAAATAATTCTTGTGCTACACATGTAACTCCTGCCCCACAGAGTTTCGGTTGTCTTCCACAGCTGCCATGACAAGGGTGAGTTTTGCCTCCCACTGACACATGTGTTTCATCCTTTCCGGTGTGTGAATGCGTTTGCTATGTGGGTTCTCCTTTGGGGGCAACATCCTATCGTTCTCCTCATTAACGAATTACAGAAAACCTTAAAACATGCTCACTGTTGCATGGATGATAACCATGATCCGAAGTTCTTTTGGAAGTGTAAACTTTCACCTTGGTAGTTTAACTTTTCGATTTATGTTTTAGCCAGTAATTTCACTGTATTATTTCTGATGCCTTTGTTTAAAGGACATTAAATCTTAAACAAACTACGCACCCACCAGTTTCTCCCAAGTCAAAGAAGATACCTTTGAACCCATCAGCATGCAAAACCTTTTGCACATTTCCTGTTAAAAAGTTCCTCGAGAATTTCATTGTGTCCAGAAGTACCTGCTATTTTGTGGCAGATGTGTTTAATCAGAAGGGAAGCTGCTAGTGTTAACTCGCCGTAGAAGAGATCTTAAAAAGGCCTAAGCTGGTTAGAACACCTGAGAAGCATTAGGATAGATTTAAATCATCAGATTAGGCTGCAAGGAAAGAAATTTGTCTATTGTGCTTGCAAGATTTCTCTCCCCAGCTTTCTGAGGCCCTGCTTAGAATGCTGATGAGGAAGCGGCACTGGGGCCAGGTGTGAACTCACAGCCACTCTCCTGATTCTCTTTTATGCACAGCTAGGAATCTTTCCGGTTTGAGGAGCTCCGCCCTGACCCTGCCCAGCCGCCGCCTCTGGTGGCTGAACAAGCCCGATCACCTCCTCCAGCCGCAGGTCTGCACCTAGAAAAGCGTTCTTTCCCCCGACAACTTGAAAGGCTTATATGTTCAGGGGGAAGCTCTCAGACCTCCCCAGAATACAAAACATGTCTTTAAAAGCTATTTTGAATATGTAAAAGGCGTTCGTGTTGGCTGCTTTATGGACCAGCAACAGGCGTCCTGTAGATGTCCAGATGTGTATGTACACGAATAAATAAGTATCGTACGCGTTTCCCCTGCAAATGGTCAGTATTGATTTGACCTGTTTCTCAATGGTCTCCTGCAAAAGAGATGAACACTTCCGTCTTTTCGGTGCCTCGGGCACTGCCCATTTATACCTCTTCCCCCTTTTTGAAACGCTCTGCTAAATGGAGCACCTGAAATCTGGCAGTTCTGCCTGTGCCGTGGAACAAAGGGGGAGCCTCTTCTCTCTTTCAGACCTTCAGTTTGTGGCTCTGGGTATTTGTTAACATTGTTCCCTTCAGTGGGGACTTCCCCAGGATCTTCCACCCTTCTATCCTTCTGTTGTTTTATTACGGCTAGAGCTCCC